TTTTCATAACAGAATACAGCTGATATATAACAAGCCAAGTAACACCAAAAACTCCTTGGGATTTGGCTTCCTCTGGAGGAATTCCCTGATCCCTCCAGGTAGTGACTTTGCCATAACCAGCTGAGTTCTTATGATATATTTCTGCGGCCCGCAAGAGAAACCCTATTTTTAAAAGCTTAAATAAAGGGGTTGGGGGTTTAGCTCAGTGGTAGAGCGCTTGCCTAGCAAGTGCAAAGCCCTGGGTTCGGTCCTCAGCTCTGAAAAAAAAAAAGCTTAAATAAAATAAGACTGAAGGTGTGGCTCATTTGGCAGAGTGCTTGCCTACCACACACAAAGCCTTGGGACTGATTGCCAGGCATGGTGATGCTCATCATAAGGATAGCATTCGGTAAGTAAAGGTAGGGTCAGATGTCCAAGGTCCTCCTCATCTCTATAGTAAGTTGGGGGCCAGTCTGGGCTACACAAGAACCTGTCCCCAAAATGTGTAAAACACAACAACAACAAAGTGAATCAAGTCAGCATCACTTTATGATGGCCTTTGGGTGCCGTAGAGAATGTTAGCCTCTGTCTTCGCAGGCAGAATTCAGAGTGCAGAAAGAAGCCGTGTGGACCGTGGCTAACTTCGCAACAGGGGCCTCCCAGAGCCAGTTGACCATGCTTTTCCACTCAGGAGTCTTGGGGCCGCTGCTGAACCTGCTCACCGCTCCAGACATGAAGATCGTCGCCATCATCCTGGACATTATTTCTTTCTTTTTCCAGGTGAGCTGTTCTGAACAGGCAGCCTCCAACTGAAGGCCGTGAGCATGCTTCTTAGAAATAAGGTGGTGGGGTTGCTTGGGGTGGGGGTAAGGGGGGGGGTAAGTGTGCTGACCACCTGAATTCAATCCCCAGGACCCATGTGCCAGTGGGAGAGAACTGACTTCTCCAAGTTGTGGTCTGACCTCCACTCACGTGCAGTGGTGCATGTGTTGACGCATGCACAAGGGGTGGGGGGTGGGGTGAGAGAGAGAGTGTGAATGTAAAAAAAGTTTAAGAAAAGTAGCGTCAGGGGGTGGGGCTGGAATGTAACTTGTTTGGTAGCATGCCTCCCTAGCATGTGTGAAGGCCTGGGTCCCATCACCAGCACCACATAGCCCCAGGCATGCTGCTACAGGCCTATAATCCTAGCACTCAGGAGGCAGAGATAGGAGGGTCAGGAGTTCAAGGTCATCCTCAGCTATACAGTTAGTGCCAGCCTGGGTTACATGAGACCCTGACTATGAATGAATGAATGAGTGAATGAATGAATGAATGAATCCATCCCGAGTAGGATTCTCTTCTCATTCTTCCCACTTTTCCTACATTCTGTGGATAACACAAAGAAAACACACACACACACACACACACACACACACACACACACACACACACACAGAAGAAAAGGACTCCAAGCCAAGCTTCACAGTGTACACCTGTTCTCCTAGCACTCTGGAGACAGAGGAAGGAGGTCATGAGTTTGAGGGCAGCCTAGGCTAAGTAGAATGTTTGAGGCTAGCCTGCTGGGCTACCCAGTCTGTGAAGAAAGTGTTTATGTGGGTGCCTCCAATGAGCACTTTGTGATAAGTGTTCAGAACAGAGCTGTTGGAATCCTTGTTCTGTGGAGCTTGTGTATGAGTGACAGAGAGGACCCTGCAGAGGTTTCCCGTAAAGGAGTCAGCTGGGGAGTCACTGCTCATTCGGGGTGGGGGTGGCTGCTGTCACACGCGAAATGCTCGGCGGAAGGAAACATTCTCCGAGGAACGGCCCAGCCAGAGAACGGAGTATAGATGAGTCTTGTGGAATATTGAGGGGGAGACGTAGTAAGAGCAAAGGGTTGGAAAAGGGAGGGAGAGCGAACCCAAGGCATGGGTTGGGGGCAGACGAGACTGGCTGGTGAAGATACGGATTTATCCCGCCTGAGGCTGGGAAACCTACAGAGGGTTCGAACCACAACAAGTCAAGCCAGGCATTGGGGCACACGCCTTTAATCCCAGAACTCTGAAGGCAGAGGCAGGCTGATTGATCAGTGTGAATTTGAGGCCAGCCAGGGCTACACAGAGAAGCGCTGTCTTGAAGAAAGAAAAAAAAAATGTTACTGGACTTTTTTTTTAAAGATCTATTTTTATTTCGAATTGTGTGGATATGTGTCTGTTTGTCTGTTTGTGGACATGTGCCCATGAGTACAGGTGTAAACAGAGGCATCAGATTCCATGAAGCTGGAGTTCTGGCTCACAACAGGTGCTTGTGAGTCTCCAGATGTAGATGCCGGGAACCGGACTCAGGTCCTCTTAATCACTGAACTATCTCTCTAGCCCTGAGCTAGTTTTTGTTTATTATTTATTTATTTATTTTTGCTTTTGAGAAGGGAGTCTCCCTATGTAGCCCAAGCAGGCTTACATAGAACTCACGGTAATCAATCCTTCTGCACCCACAAGGCCTCTGAAACGCCGAGAATACAGGAATGCATGTATCAGATTTTTTTTTTAAAGATTGATTTATTTTTATTTTATGTGAATGGATATTTTACCTGCATGTATATCTGTGCACCACGTGCCTACAGAGCCTACAGAGGCCGGAAGAGGGCATGGGACCCTCTGGAACCGGAGTTACAGGTAGTTGTGAGGCGTTCTGGGGGCACTGGCACTGAACCCATGTCCTTTGGAAAAACAGTCAATACTCTTAGCCACCGAGCTGTTTCTCTGGCCTCCCTATATGGAACTTTTAAAACAGATCCCAGTGAGCCATCAGGGGATTGGGTCATAGAAGGAGCACAGGGCAGGTTTGGGAAGAACCATAAATCTTTAGTGGGTACTACTGTCCCCAGACAGGATAACATCATTTCCCCAGGACAGTAAGGACAAAGGGGAAGGTGTAAACATCATGCACTGATACTGTGAATTCCGTTCATGACGGAGCTGGGTGTGCTTGTCATACCAACACTTAGGAGGTGGAGGTAGGAGGATCAGGAGTTGAGGTTACTATGTCCAGCCAAGTTCAAGGCTAGCCTGGGCTACATGAAACCCCGTCTTAGTAATTTCTAGAGTCCTATAATGCTTACCTAGACTTTTTTTTTTTCGTTATTTATTTTGGTTTTGGTTTTTGAGACAGGGTTTCTCTATGAAACAGCTCTATCTGTCCTGGAACTTTCTCTGTAGAGCAGGCTAGCCTTGGCTTTCACAGAGATCCACCTGCCTTCTAATTAAAGGCATGTACCACCACTGCCTGGTTTACATTTGGTTTTTATTAAATATTTTTCATAGTTTTTCACTTTGAATTCTTTAGTGCTTTGGACAAAAGCAATTTTATATTTATTACATTTGTATTCTCTAATGTTGAATATATTTTGAGTAGAAAAGTGAATGAGTGAATGAATGAATGAATGAGTGAACAAGTGAATTCATGAATGTATTTGTGAGTGAATGGATTCATGGATGATTTTGTGAATGAATGACTTCATGGGTAACTTTGTGAACAAATGAATTTATGAGTCATTTTGTGAATAAATGCATGCATGAATGATTGAGTAAATGAATCAATGAAACGGGAGGGAAATCTTGGCATTTCCAGTGGGTCTGTGACTACCCCTGCTGGAACAGGTATGTCTCCACATAGGAAAGCTCCCTTAGGGCCGGCCAGCTGTGAAGCCCCCCCCCCCAGCACACTCTGGGTCTAAGGGTCTCTTTGCTGGTCCCCATCTATCCTCAGAGGGCTGATAGGCTGCATGAGAAGGAAAAGATGTATCTCCTGATGGAAGAGGTTGGTGGCATTGAAAAAATTGAGTCCTTACAGCTCCACCAGAATTGCCACATTAGCCAGAGTGCTCTGAACATCATTGAGAAACACTTTGGTGAGGTGAGTAACACGGCCATGCTTCCAATTCTATCGCTATGAACCCGGCAATCACTCAGGCTGACTTCTCTCCCTGCGCTCTTGTGAATTTAGCTGGTTGCCTTCCTGGTTCCTGCTCTGCAGGTGGCCTTTGAGCGTCAAGAAGCTTGTCTGTGAGCCAGGAGGTGGTTCAGCTGGCCGGGGGCTTGCTGTGCAAGGATGAGGGCTTGAGGTTGAACCCATGTAAAAAAAAATCCAGGCATGTTGAACCATGTTTATAATCCCAGTCTAGCCAATGGAGTTCCAATCCAGCAAGAGATCCTGTCTCACAAAACAAAACAAAAAAACCATGTGGCAAGATGGATCAGTGTTGGGTTAGGGTTTCTATTGCTACAATGAAACATCATGACCAAAAACAAGCTGGAGGAGAAAGGGTTATTTGGCTTACACTTCCGCTTTACTGTTCAGCAGGCAAGAAAACCAGGACAGGAACTCACACAGGGCAGGAACCCAGAGGCAGGGGCTGCTGCAGAGGCCATAGAGAGGTGCTGCTTACTGGCTTGTTCTTCATGGCTTGCTCAGCCTGCTTTCTTATAGAACCCAGGGATGGCACCACTCACAACGGGCAGGCCCTTCCCCATTAATCACCAATTAAGAAAATGCCCTATAGGTTTGCCTACAGGCTGATTTTATGGAAGCGTTTTCTTTTCTTTTCTTTTCTTTTCTTTTCTTTTCTTTTCTTTTCTTTTCTTTTCTTTTCTTTTCTTTTCTTTTCTTTTCTTTTCTTCTT